AGGACGTTTCTTTCTCCTCAACTTCCTCCAGACTTAGCTTCAAAAGCAGCCACGCCAAATTCTGGCCAGCTACCTCCACTCAAGTTACCCAGCCTCTAAGGGCCAACTTACCCAGCCCTACTTTTCCCTTGCCCCTAACCTTTGACCTTGACCTGACAGGGCCCACTACTCCATCTCTAATTCCCAGCCCATTTCTAATCTTAACTCCTAACACAGGACCTCTGCGGAGGCCAGACTGCAGCCTGCCCCTAGGCCCAATTCTCTTTCTCTGCTGGACTTGGTGGGTTTGAAAATCTGGGGCTGAGCCATGGCTTTGCTGGTGGGGCATCTTTGGCCAAGTCCTGTTCCTGTCTGTGGGCCACAGCCTCCCCTTCTGTAAAATAAGAGACTCTTCCTTTGGATTCCATTCCTTTCTGACTCTGCCAAGTTCTCTCTTCCCATAAACGCCCTGCCCGAGGGGCTCTAGGGCTAGTGAGGGACCACTCCAAGGAGGGAGGGCCATCTCCCTACAGCCTCCCTTGCCCACAGGCCATACTGGAAGCCCCTGAGAAACAGCGAACACTCAATGAGATCTACCACTGGTTCACCCACACGTTTGCCTTCTTCCGGACCCACCCAGCCACCTGGAAGGTGAGCCCCTGTCTATGCTCCCACGGGTGCACATGTGTGTGTTTGGGTGTCTGGCCTTTGAGTGAGCCCAAAGAGCCTGGTCTTGGAGGTTCAGGTGCTCTCACTTTCCACAGAATGCCATTCGCCACAACTTGAGTCTGCATAAATGCTTCGTGCGGGTGGAGAATGAGAAAGGGGCAGTGTGGACTGTGGACGAGTTTGAATTCCGAAAGAAGAGAAGTCCAAGGCCCAGCAGGTACCCAGACAGCCTTAGCTTGAGCCCCGACTTTGTGAGGAGCCCCTGGCCCCACTAACTCACTCTGATAAGGGATGGGGAGGAGGGCCATCCTGGGTGGGGAGTGACCCTCCTGCACTGTCCCCCCAGAGACCAAGACCTGAAACGCCTGCTGTCCTGCACCCCACTGGCTGTGACGGAGGCCTGGCTCCCTCTGCCTCCCAGTTGACCAGCCACACCCGAGCCTGGCTGCTGAAGGAACCATTTTTATTGGTTGTGTCCGCCCCCCCCCCCCCATGAAGGAGGGCCTTGGTCTCCTTCCACCAATAAAGGCCCTGTGGCTGAACCACACATTGGTAGAGGTGTGCCTGAGGGAAAGGCCTAGCAGGGCCTCTGCCCAAAGGGAGAAGGCACTGGGTGAGTCCGCCCGCTGCAGCCGCCTCACGCTTCGTGGACTCGGCCCAGCAGGCCCGCGTTCTCTTGGCGGACCGCCTTGTAATCCTCCAGGATCTGGTCCAGATTGCTCAGCGTCTTCTTGCCAGTCTCAGTCTCAATCTGGTGCAGAGAGTGAGGGTTAGGGAGGCTGGCCCCAGCTGCACTGACAAGTGTGTGCCACCCGGTACCAAGAGTCAGGCTGACCAAGGCACCTGATGCCCCAATGCGTGTGTGTGTATGTGTATTGTGTGTGATGTGTGTGCATGCGTGTGTATGTGTGTGTATTGTGTGTGAATGTGTGTGTCTGTGTATTATGTATGTATGTGTATCTGTGTATTGTGTGTGAATGTGTGTCTGTGTATTATGCGTGCATGTATATGCATGTGTATTATGTGTGTGCATGTGTATGTATATGCATGTGCATATGTGTATTATGCATGTATCGTGTCTGTATGTGTATTGTGTATGAATGTGTGCCTGTGTATTATGCATGTATGTATGTGTATTGTGTGTATATGTGTATTATGTGTGTGCATGTCTGTGTCTGTGTATTATGTATGTATGCGTATGTATGTGTATTATGTGTGTGAATGTGTGTCTGTGTGATATGTATGTATGTGTATTGTGTATATGTAAGTGTATGTGCATATGTGTATTATGTGTGTATGTGCGTGCGTGTGTGTATGGTGAGGCATTCAGTGTACCCCTCCTAGATGCTTTCTACTAGGTCCTGAGGGGCTTCCCAGACTGCCCCCCCCCCCCAAGTGATACTGCAGAGATCAAAGACCAAAGGGGAAGCTGGGGCGGGGCGGGGGGGAAGCCGTCCCCTAGGGCCTATCCTGGATGCCAGCACTCAGGGAGCAGATCTCATCTAGGCTCCTTGACAACGGTCTCAGTGGTCAAAGGAAAAGTAAGGCCAAGATGGTGGTCATGGCCCCGGGGGAGCTTCCAGCAGCCCCCAGGGTCCTGCCCACCCTCCCTGGCTCCTCACTTGCTCTTCCAGGTCTCGGACCTCCCGCAAGATAGTGCCAGTGTCTTCTATGGTCTGGATAAGCTGGCTGCAGTTCTGGGAGAGATATGGGGAGGGCGAAGGTCAGGGGGAGGATCCCCAGCAGCAGGGGCTGGCCCTGGGGAACCCCACCCAACTCACTTCATGCAGGGCTGCCAGATACTTATAGGCCTTCCTCACCGAATCATCCTTCTTGGCATCCTGCAGGGGCACATGAGAAAAATGGGCCAAGCAGCCAAAGAGACCTGGCAGGGAGTCCAGAGGCTGCCAAGGCTACTCCAGCCCAAACCTGACCCCCCCCATACACACCCCCCCCCCCCCCCCCACCCCCTTCCAGACAAGCTTGCTATTGTGCCCGATGAGACCGACGGGGTCTGTCCTGCCCAGCAGCCCACTGGCCCTCCCTCCCAGCTCAGGTCCTTCTAATCCGTCAGCAAGTAAGAAGAAGCCTCCTAGCGGTGCCATCCAAGCAGCTCAAGGGAGGGAAGGGATTTGAACCCAGGCCTTGCCCACTCGAGTCCTCCGCTCTGGCCAGTGTGAAAGCACGCTGTCTCTTCGTCCAAGTCTGGGAGAAAAATGCTCAACAGCCCAGGGGGACCTTGTAATAGCCATTAAGGCTCCTAGCACCCAGCAGGTCTGGACAGTCCCTCAGATCAGCATCTCTCTACTTGGCCACAAAGCCGGTAAACACTGCTCAAGTCTGAGCTTACCACACACTGACTTCGAAACTGTGCCAACCCCAGGAAGGAGGCAAGGAGCTCAGACTGGCAGGGGGATTCCGGCCCAGCTGAGGAAGCAGCCGCCCCTCCCCCCCCACAGGCCTTAAACAGGCCCAGGCCTCCTCCTTGGCACCCAACACACCTACCTTGAAGACCAGTTCATCTGTGACAGCAAAGGTCCGGTCCAGCTTGCCAGATAGAGCATTGATCTCTTTCTGAAGCAGTTTGGTATCAGAAAGGATCTATGAGAGCCAGTAAGAAAGAGAGGTAGACGGTGGGTGAACACGGGCTGGCCAGGCCAAAAGGGTGGAAGGCAGGGGCCCCAGGCGGCCTCACCTTAGTGATCTCCTCCTTCTGCTTCCGGATGCTGCCCACAATCTCCAGGATACGATGGGTGTAGGCAGAGCGGGCCATGTCTCCAGGCAGGGTCTCCAGCTCGGCTACCTGGGGAAGGGCCCAGGGCCATTTTTCTCTCAGTCCTGAGGGCCTGCCCCTGCCCCTGAGCCAGGTCTCAGGCCCTCCTCCCTCCCAGGAAACCAACTGGCCAGTGTCACTCACCAGCTGCTTATATAAACCTTCCTTGCGTCGGGCCTCTCCAGCCGCTACCCGGACACACTCCTGCAGAGCCTGGAGCTCAGCTGCCCGATGTAATGATTCTAACTAGATAGGAAGAAGAAGGGGCCCTCAGTTTCCCCAAGTGTCAATGTGGTGGGGGGGGGGGCAGGGGGGCTGTCAAAAGCCCAGGGTTGGTATCAGAGCAGCAGGTGGGGTCACCTCTCGCTGGTCCCGACGCTTCTTCAGAGCCCGATATTCAGCCAGGAGTGGCACCCGATGCCTCTCCCACTGGCCAGTGAGGTGGATGACACGCTGGGCACTGGCCTCTACCACCACCTGGGAGACGAAGAAACAGTCACCAGGGGCAGGGCTAAGTCTGCCACTGGGAGGCCCTCGGGACCGGCCACACTCACCTGCAGCTTGGCCAGGTTGCTGGGGGCATCTGGCAGCAAGTCCACGGCCCGGCGCTTCAGCCTCCTGGCCTGTTCCCGCTCTGTGGTGCTCAGCCAGTCTTGGTGGGCCTCTGCTTCGATCTGTACCCCAGCTCACAGTCAGTGGGTCGGAAGGAATACCCTCCTCCTCCTCCAACGCCCCCAGGTCTGTGCCGTCCCCTCCCCAGCTGCGCGCCCTGACCTGGCCTGTACTAAGCGTCAGCCTCTTCATGGTGGCCCCGGCCTCCTTGATGCTGTGGCCCACAAGCTCCAAGCGGCCCTGGAGAGAGGCCAGCTCGGCCTCCTGCCCGGCCTGCACCTCCTGCTCCAAGTGGGTGGGGGACAGTGGGGACAGTGGTGAGGGATGTTCTGCAGGTGCCAAAGGTGGGGCGTGAGCCATTTTCTCTTCCTGGGGGGGGGGGGGGCAGGGAAAAACAAAAAGGGAGATGGCTTTACAGACTCCCCATCCAATGACCTGGGCCCTCAATCCCTCATCTGTCCCCTGGCCACTACCTGAGCAAAAGTGAATTTCTCAGCATGAGTGAATCTGGAACCCTTCCCTCGAGGCTCTCCAGAACCAGGCACCCAGGTGCAGAGGAGCTCACTCAGCTCTCGGCCTGGTCCACGAGCCCCTGAGGTACTGGATGTGGCCTGCCCCCAGTTCTGCCTCAGTTGCTCCACCAGCCGTGGGGCCAGATGCCTCCTGCCAGCCTACGGAGAAAGAAGGGACATCTATCCTTGCTTCTCCATCCACAATGGAGCCTTCTCAGGGCCTGGCCTGGGCACTCTGAGGCTCCCCCAAACAGAGAGCATTTGGACAAGTGAAGGGTAGGAAGAGTGAGAAGGAAGAGAGAAGAAGACAGAAGAGAGGAGGGGAGAAACAGAGACAAAGCATACGGGGGGGGGGGGGCGGGTGGCAAGGTCCCTGACCTAACCTTGTCTGTGTCTCCAGGGGCATCTCCTTCAGGCAGCTCCTGGAGCTGGGCTGCATGCTCCTCCAGAAATGAAGCTGCCCGGATGGCCTGACAGGGGATCTGGGCAGGAACTGGGGGCACCAGGGGTCCTCCCTGGAACTCCTGCACCTCGGAGGCACCTGATCACAGGGAGGGAGATGTGGTCTCAGGTTAGCTGTGTTCGCGTGGAGTACACGTGGACTCCTGTAGCTAAGAGCATTTTGGTACAGAATGGCAGGGCCTACCTGACCAAGATCTTTGCATGGCTAACCAAAGTCTTGGGCCCCCTCTTACCTTCCGGGGTGTTGGCCTTAGGGAACATGAAGGGCTGAACGTGGAAAGGCTTCAGAAGGACACAGTCCTGGGCAGGAGAAAGACAGGGAGAGAGCAAGAGCCACGCTGGGCAGCAGCAGGGCCAGGGCAGAAAAGAGGGCATTGTGGGGGCCAATCATACCTGGTACTTTGGGGGCTTCAGGGCTGTGGGCAGCCATGGCTCCGTCAGAAGTTCCCTGACTCGGGCGCCAATGGCCCGCAGCAGGATAGCCGACTCACCTACTGAGCAGGGGAGGAAGGCTGGATTTAGCTCTCAAGCCAGCCGGGCAGCCACTCCGCCCTCGCCGAGCCTCTGTGGGACCCCGGTTACCTGAGGGCTGAGCGCTCTCCTGGGCAGGATCGGGGGGCAGGCGCTCTGCAAGGAAAAGCAGCAGCTGCCTCAGGTCTGGCTCGCTTGGGTACAGAAAACTCTGGTAACCGAGCTCCCGCGGATAGCCTAGATCCTGGCCACATGTGACCAGGGAGGGCAAAGGGACAGAGAGAGGCGAGATGCCACCCGTTTCCTCCGGGCCCCAGGCCTGGCAGTCCCTCCATTTCCTTCCCCTCCCCCTCCTTTCCACAGGCTTCAATCCAACACGGGCCCCAGGCCTCACCGAGCAGGCTTGAGCCAGACTCATGCCAAGCCGAAAGCGGGCAGACATTCCAGGAGGCAGGTGGGCGCTAAGGCTGGAGCTCAGGGAGGGCCGAAGTACTTGCAGACAGCCCACCACGGCTGCTACGGCCAGCTCTGCAGTGAAGGCCCGGAGAGACTGGACATCTTCGGGGATGGCCCTGTCAGGGATGGAGGAGTGCGTGGGACGCCGGGCCCGGGGGGGGGGGGGGGGAGGCCTGACTGGGGGGAGGGGGTCCCGAGGGCCCAGGACCCAGGACCCTTGTCCGAGTCCTGGCGCTGCCTATTAGGCACGCCTAGCTTCCTCAGTTTCCCCACGGATCCCAGACGACTCCCCAGCGCGGCCCGGTTCCTTACGAGCCCGCGTGGCGCAGCGAATGAATCAGAATCCGGTCCGCCTCCTCCATGCCGCCCTCCAGCACGCGCTCCACAGCTCGGTGGTAGCCTCTTTGCCGGGCTCGGACGCCTGGGTTCCGCCTGGGAGCCGAAGGACGAAGAGCCAAGTCACCTGGCTCGAGCGCGCAGCGCCCTCTGGAACTTGTAGTTTCTTTCTTCTCCCCGCCTTGCGCTGCGAGCAGGGAGGGGCAGGCGCACGGCTCTCTGGGACTCGTAGTCCTCAGGCCTCCCAGGTCTCGGGCATGCGCGCCAGCGTTCTCGGCCTTCGAATCACAGGACTGCCCCCGGCTGCGGGGAGCGAACTGGTGAAGGGGGGCAGGGGCTGGTGGTGCCAGCGGACCCCCGCCGCGATCACCCCTGCGAGGACACGAAGGGCCCAGACACGCGAATCCCTGCGGGGAGGCCATCACAGCGCTGTTATATATGACCTTTGGCCACTCCCACCTCTTGATTCCCCCCGCCCCCCCCCCCCAAGGCCCCCAGGGAGGACCATCTGGCTACCCCTCCCTTCTCCCCCATAAGGCTGGCTGGCCTTAATCCTGGCATCCCAGCGAGAGGGAAGAGGATGGAGAGAGCCGAAAGCGGGTTAGGTGAGCCTGGCGATGCCGACGTCTATGCCCCCCAAGCCTCCCCTCAGCTTCAGGCCCAGGGTCCCCAGATCTCCTGACCCAGAGACCCCCAGAATCTTGACAGGACGCAGCCCAGATTTGCACCAGGATTCCATTGGTTTAGCCAGATTGGGGGTCACCTGGTCTTACAAGGCCCTCTGAGACATAGCCTCTTCCCTTCTTCTCTCCCTCTCCAGACATAGTTCAAGGGCTCACGGGGCCAGGCCCCGAGTGGGGTCTGGCTCCTGGGCCCCCTCCAGGGGGAGAAGGCCAGGCCGGGATGCCAGCAGGGCGAAGGAAGGCTCCTCCCAGCAAACATAAGGGCCCAGGGCCTGGGGGGATCCAGCGATCCCCCAGGGCCCTCTTCTGCCTAAGCCTTACCAACCCAGTGAGGAGATTCTGCATCGCCGTCGTGGAATGGAAGTATCCTGTCTGGCATTGCCCCCACCCCAATCCTCCCAGACTGAAGATATGGGCAGTGGGCAGTGCCAAACCCCAGGGCAGGATCTGGGCAACTCCACCCTTCCTCACTTGGGGGCCCCAGGCTGGGAAGGAAAGAGATGGGGAGCCAAACCCACCCCCACCCCCACCAGCTTCCTTGACCTCACCTGCTTCAGGCCATTTGACATCCTCATCCTTATGACCATCTTTGCCAACTGTGTGGCCCTTGGGGTCTATGTCCCCTTCCCAGAGGATGACTCCAATGCAGACAACCACAATCTGGTAAGAACTGCCTTACACCACCAGAGACCCATTAAGCCTCCAAGTCCTTGGACTGCCTTCAGACAGAAACTTCCCAGGACCCTTAAAAGATTTCCCGGAGACACCCCACCAGGGCTCTGCCTACCTCCCCAGAGCACAAGGAATAGCCAGAGATCCCCATTTCTGACCCTAACCCACTCCTGCCCCCAGGTAGTCCTGTTACCTGAATGGGCCCTGAGCTCTCCTAATTTAGCCTCAACCCCCTTGCAGGCTCTTCAGCGCTCTCCTGGAGCAGAGCCCTCCCGGGCCCACAGGCTTCCCCTTGACCCCTCCAGATGCCCCTCAGCACCCCCTAGACTGCCTCAGAGCCTCCATAGGCACTTCTCGGGTGGCCATACATCCATTAGACACCAATGGGTCTGACTTGTTCCGGCCCCCCTCCCCCACCACAGCCACACTCTTCCCCTCCTCACCCCAGGAGCAGGTGGAGTATGTGTTCCTGGTGATCTTCACTGTGGAGACCGCGCTAAAGATCGTGGCCTATGGCCTTGTGCTGCACCCCAGTGCCTACATTCGCAATGGCTGGAACCTGCTGGACTTCGTCATTGTGGTTGTAGGGTGTGCAGCGGCCCTCTGCCCCAATGCTCATCTCTCCTCTGGATCCACTCATCACTTCCTTGGCCCCTCCCCCTGCTCCCACCAAGGTCCCCCCCCCCTTCCCGTGGCTCTGCCCACCTCCCCAGGCCCCGGGCCCCAGAGCACAAGGAATAGCCAGAGATCCCCATTTCTGACCCTAACCCACTCCTGCCCCCAGGTAGTCTTGTTACCTGAATGGGCCCTGAGCTCTCCTAATTTAGCCTCAACCCCCTTGCAGGCTCTTCAGCGTTCTCCTGGAGCAAGGCCCTCCCCGTCCAGGGGATGTTTCCCATGCAGCAGGGAAGCCCGGAGGCTTTGATGTGAAGGCCCTGAGGGCATTCAGAGTCCTTCGGCCCCTCCGTCTGGTATCTGGGGTACCCAGTGAGTCCCAGCTGCACAAGGGAAAAAAGAACTAGAAAGTAGGGAGGTAAGGGAGATGGGATTAGTATGGACAGGATTGCCAGCTGTCTCAGTGTCGGCTGAGAGGGTCCTCAGCTAGAGGGCGAAGTGTGCAGACAGCGCTGGAGGGGGTCTCTGGAGACCTTCTTCACTTTGGAGAACAAAGGGAGTTTGCAATGATCAATAAGGTTTCACTGGGAGTATGGCCTCCAGTCTTCCCAGGACAGAGAGCCTTAGCTCCCCAGACAGGGGGTGAGGCTGGGCAGGAAGCAGGCAGCCCCTGGGAGGGGGCGGCCTCCCAGGAGGGATGGGGGGGGCAGTGGGGAGACCCCCCCCAGAAGGGGATGGGGCTGGGCAGGAAGCAGGCAGCCCCTGGGGGGGGCCTCCCAGGAGGGATGAGGGGCAGTGGGGAGCCCCCCCCCAGGAAGCCCACCCAAGGCCCAAGGACCTAACCTCCCCCACCCCCCAGGCCTGCACATAGTGCTCAACTCCATTCTGAAGGCCCTGGTCCCACTGCTGCACATTGCGCTCCTGGTACTCTTTGTCATCATGATCTATGCAGTGATAGGCCTTGAACTCTTCCTGGGCCGCATGCATAAGACCTGTTTCATCCGGGGCTCAGGTAACTACAGGGTGGCAGAGCTTTCTCAGCCTGAGCCCACTCTCTTCTCCCCTCTCCACTGGCCTTGGAGTCAGGAAGAATCAAGTTTAAATCCAGCCTCAAATACGTATTAGCTGTGTGGCCCTGGGCACGTCACTTAAATCTCTGTTTGCCTCAGTTTCCTCAACTGTGCAATGGGGATGGTATAATAGTATATAGCAATAGACAATAAATAGGGTTGTTATGAGGACTAAATGAGATAATACTTGTCCAAGGTAGATAGCATGGTACCTGGCACATAGTAGGCACTCTGTCCATGCTTAGTCCTTTCCTCCCCTCTCTTCTCCTTTCCTCTTGTGCACAGACCTGGAGGCTGAGGAGGATCCGGCCCCGTGTGCCATGCCTGGCTCCTCTGGCCGACAGTGTCTTGCCAACCACACCGAGTGCCGGGGCCGCTGGGCAGGTCCCAATGGTGGCATCACCAACTTTGACAACTTCTTCTTTGCCATGCTGACTGTCTTCCAGTGTGTCACCATGGAGGGCTGGACCGATGTGCTGTACTGGGTATGTCTCCTAGCCGGTGGGGAGGACAGCGCCGGGCCCGGCCCTGATCTGCCTGGAGTTTGGTCGCTGGGGCCCCTCCAGCTCCAAGGCTCCCCCAGGGCGAGGCAGATTGAGCTCACCTGACTGTTTGTCCTCATCCTCTCTCCCCCCTCCCCCTTCTCTCTCCCCTTCCCCTCCCCCTTCTCCTCCAGATGCAGGATGCCATGGGGTATGAGCTTCCCTGGCTCTACTTTGTCAGCTTGGTCATATTCGGCTCCTTCTTCGTGCTCAACCTTGTCCTGGGTGTCCTGAGTGGGTGAGCCCTGGGGATGGTCAGAGGCCTTCAGCCAGTCATCCCTGGGCACCCCTCCACCCATCCCAGCTCTCTCTGGATGTTCTCAGGGAATTCTCCAAGGAACGAGAGAAGGCCAAGGCCCGGGGAGACTTTCAGAAACTTCGGGAGAAGCAGCAGATGGAGGAGGACCTTCGAGGCTACCTGGAGTGGCTCACCCAGGCTGAAGAACTGGGCTTCAGGGACCGGGAGAAGGCAGAAGCCGAGGGGGAGACAGAGGCAGAGGCTGAGGAGGACGGAGTGGCCGCTGGAAGGCTGCAGCAACGTACAGGGGGAGGGGACTCCCAAAGCACAGTCCCTCAAACCCCGCTAGGCCACTTGGGACCAGGTACAGACTGAGACTGTGGAAGTGTAATTGGAGATCAAATGTAGCATTTCTAAGCGGGAGGAACCTTAGAGACTGCGTTACTCCAATCCCTCCATTGCATAGGTGGGGAGATAGATGAGGATAGGGGGAGGGGGAGGGGGTGGAGTCTGAGACCTAGAGAGCCCAGGCAGAGGCTGCAGATATAGCAACCCAAGCCCTCTGCCTTCCAGCCCTGCTTACCTTGACAAGGACCATTTGCTCACAGCCACCAAAGGAAGAAGTGGGGTGGGGGCAGCAGGAGTCCGGCCACCCCTTCCACGTGCCTCTTCCCTCCCCACAGGAGTGACCCTGTCTGAGATGATTCACAAGAAACAAAATCGACTCCGGTGGTTCAGTCACTCGACTAGCAGCCATGGTATGGGTGTATGGGCCTATGAGCGGCGTGGGCCTATGGGCAGCATGGACCTATGGGCAGCATGGGCCTATGGGTGGTGTGGGCCTATAGGTGGTATGGGCCAATGGGCATATGGGCGTATAGACCTATGGGTGATATGGGCCTATGGGCAGGTCCTATGGGCGGCATGGGCCTATGGGCAGCATGGGCCTATGGGTGGC